ATTAAAAACTTTTTTAACACCATTTTTCAAAATAGCTATATTCCACTAATCAATAAACCAACGCGAATAACTAAGGAAAGTTCAACATCCCTAGATCAAATTATAACAAATGAATTTATAAATAAAAATATAAGAACAGGAATATTTAATACTGACGTGTCTGATCACTTTCCGATTTTTATCCTATCGCAAAAATGCATATATAATGCCCAAAATGAACGGGAAAAAATAATTAAAACACGTTTAATAACCGACAATTCTATTAGTCATTTTTATAAGCTTCTATCCTGTGTTAACTGGGACACCCTAAAACTAAATCTAAAGCGTATGATATTTTCCTAACAGAGTTTCTTAATCTTTATAACAAGGCATTCCCAGAAGTTACTAAAGTAATCAAAACAAAAACACTTTTAAACTCTTGGATCACGAAGGGCATTCTTAAATCTTCAAAAAAAAAACAACGCTTATATAACAAGTTTCTTAAAAAAAGAACTCTTAAAAATGAAACTACCTATAAAAACTATAAACGGCTATTTGAGTCAATCTTAAAACGCTCAAAGAAACGTTACTATTCTGAACAATTAATAAAGCACAAAAATGATTCTAAAAAAACTTGGCATATTATTAAGGAGGTAATTGGAAAAAAAAGCTTATACAGAAATTTACTTCCTCTAAATCTTAAATTTAATAACAAACAAATTGTAAATAAATCCTTAGTCGCTGAAACACTTAACCAGTTTTTTGTAAATATAGGTCCTACTTTATCATCTAATATAGCAACTACTCAATCACACTTTAGTTCGTACTTAACCACAACCAACCTTAATGTTATGTCTAATTATAAACTTACAGAAAAAGAATTACTAGACGCAGTCTCTTTATTAAAACCCAATAAAAGTTTAGGATTTGATGATATAAGTAGTAATGTCATTATCAAATCAATAAAACAAATTACAATTCCATTACTACATATTTTTAATTTATCTCTAAAACAAGGCGTTTTTCCAGATAACCTAAAAATTGCAAAAGTAATTCCAGTGTTAAAATCAGGTGATCCTTCCGATGTTACGAATTATAGACCAATCTCAATTCTTTCTTGTTTTTCTAAAATATTAGAGCGGGTTATGTATAATAGACTATATTCCTTTTTAAATGTTAATAATATTCTTTATCATAAACAGTTTGGATTTAAATCTGGTCATTCAACTGATCATGCAATCACTCACCTTGTTCATGATATATTTAAAGGGTTTGATGAAGACAAGTATACCCTAGGTGTATTTATCGATTTAAGTAAAGCTTTTGACACTGTCAATCATCAAACCCTTCTATCCAAACTGAAAAGTTATGGTATAATAAATACTAATTTGTCCTGGTTTGATAGTTACTTGACTAATAGAAAGCAGTTTATTTCATATGATAGCGGAAAAACGGAATATAAGTCAATCACCTGTGGTGTTCCTCAAGGATCAATTTTAGAACCACTTTTATTTCTCGTTTATATTAATGACTTATATAAATTTTCTAACATTTTAAACTTAATTTTGTTTGCAGATGATACAAACTTGTTTTATTCTAGTAAAGATATCAGTAAATTATTTCAAACAGTAAACAAAGAACTTGAAAAATTAACCCAATGGTTCAAATCAAACAAACTATCTTTGAACATCAATAAATCCAAATACACTTTGTTCCATCGTCTTCATAAAAAACAAGATATTCCATTAAAACTTCCTGATCTTTTTATTGATAACGCATTATTAAAAAGAGAGCAATCAATAAAGTTTTTAGGTTTGGTTCTGGATGAAAATTTAACCTGGAGGGACCACATAGGTCTAATTGAAAATAAAATATCAAAAAATATAGGTGTTTTGTATAAAGCCAAGCAGTTTTTAAATCTATCTTGTTTAAAAAACTTATATTTTTCTTTAATTCATTGCTACTTAAATTATGCAAACGTTGCTTGGTGCAGCACAAACGCAACAAAAGTAAAAAAACTGTTTAGTAAACAAAAATAGGCTATAAGGATAATTACAAACGTAGACCGTTTCTCTCACACTAAAACATTATTTAATAAACTTAATATTCTAAATGTATATAAACTAAACCTTTACCATATTCTTATCTTCATGTTTAAACTTGATAAAAAAATATCACCAATGTTATTTAATTCACTTTTTGAAAAAATAAACCACATATACCCTACCAGATTTTCAAAAAACAATTACATTCAATCCAAAACACATTATTCAGCAACCAAATTCTCAATTGCAAATCGAGGTCCTAAGCTGTGGAATACAATATTAAATAATGAGCTGAAATCTAATTATTCTTTAAACCAGTTTAAAACAAAACTTAAGCAATAACTGATGATACATGAAAATGAATTAAAGTTCTTCTAAAAAGCTTTTTAAACTAGCAAACAAAAACAAAAATTAACCTACTAATTACTCTTTAATATTATATTTAATATTCTAAACAATAGTCTGCTATTGTAAATGTATTTCTTATCTTATAAGTTTTGAACTTACAAACGATTTTTTAAGTTTTATTATTTGAAATAATAATTACTAAAAATATTGTAAAATTTTATAATTTCAATTTTTATTAAAAAAAGTTATTGTAAATTCTTTTTGTAATATTAATACTTATATATCATCTTATTTTACTAATCAGTTCTTAAATATAAATACTCTTTGAATTACTAAATATTTTAAACGTTATATATTTTATTTTTTACATTTTGTTAAAATATTTTATTTGATGAATATGCATTTTTTTGGGGGGGGCTTAATGATAAGATGAATTTTGTCTTCTTCAAGCCCCAGTCATGTAAATATTTGTTTTTATAAATTACGAGTGTAAATTATTTTCAATCGGCAAATACAATACTAAAAAAAAAAAAAAAAAAAAAAAAAAAAAAGAATGTCTACTGACGCCATGGAAATATAAAGGAAATCTTTATGCGTCAGAATGTTTGAAAGCTTTTTGTGGCTTTTTTTTATTTCTAATAATTCTTATATTAGTTTGAGAAAACCCTGCTTAGTATGCTTTATGAACAGATACCTCAAGCAAGATGCTTTTTTATTATTTTTATTAAGGCTTTATTTATTGTCTATGTAAGAACTTTTTTTATTACCATTGTATGTACCAAACCCCTCTTGCAATGTAATTATTATAGTAGCTAAAAACCAGAACCCAACCACCCCAAGAAGCTTTAACGGTCATTTCACAGAGCACCATGGAGGTGCATTTAACCAGGATGTTCACGCATCCTTTCTTACCGTGACGCAAAAATATGTCTAGAGCTCGTTTTGAACCTGGATCTCCTGTTTTAAAGCAAGCACTGTAACCACTGCGCCTCGGGCGCTAGTATTACAGTACCTGTTTTTTTTTGAAAAATTACAATTAGTAAATTAAAATTAAAGGATATAAACAAAATACCTTAAAGTACATATTTTAACCAATCTTGTGAGCATACAATGACTTCCAATGTGCTTGAAATCATAGAACTACAATATTTATCAAGAACTCTACTAGCTGTGCTAAAGGCTGACTCTAAAGCAACAGTAGACAACGGAATCGACAAAGTATCTCTTGCTAAACATTTCATAACTGGAAATCTGACTCCATCATGTCTTAACCATTCCAGTATGTCGAATCTTTTTTTGATAAACCATCAACCCTTACGGCAATATTGAATGGAAAACCCATGGAATTCCATGAGTAAACCATGGTTTTCCCATGGAAAACGGAATTTCCATGGGTGAATTTCATGAAAATTGAAGTCCCATGGAATTTCCATGGGTGAACCATTGTTTTTTTTACTTATGCTCCGCAAAAAATGCGCATTCATTGTTGTTAGGAATGCGCTTTTAAAGATGGCGTCATAGCTCGTAGAGTTACGAAAACTTTTAACTTGAGCAAACAATGCTTACTGCATTTTTCTGTTTTTCTGTATTTAATAAGACTATAAATTATATGTTTTTTATAATGCATCACATTTATATTGTTTAAACTAAACATACAGATATAAATAACTAGATATATTTAGTTAAATATAATTAAAAATAATCCATTTTATAATGCATTATAATATGATAAATATATCTAGTTGTTTATGTCTGTATGTTTAGTTTAAACAATATAAATGTGATGCATTGTAAAAAACATATAATTTATAGTCTTATAATTAAATATAATTTATTATAAATTAATAATTTATTATAAATTAATAATAGTCTTATAATTAAATCTAATATAATTAAATTTTAATTATATATCATTTGTGCATATACTTTATTTAATTGTTTCCAATAGCTTTGCTTACTTTGCCTTACTTGCAATAGTATAGCAAGTATGTCAAGTAAACCAGTTTGAATTTTAATACTTACTTAGCAAATTATTTACCAAATAATTATTGTTTGGTTTACAACAAATAAACATTTAGTTTTAATCTACATTAAATAATTAGTGTATTAATGTACATAGTGTAATCTAATGTATATTAAAACTAATATAATTATTATTATAAAACTTATCTAACATATTAAACAAACTTATATAATATATTAATATATAAGTAGTATATTAGATAAGATTAGATAACTCAGATAAGATAAGATAATAAGATTAGATAACTAATGTACAAAAGATAACTAGTACAATCTTTTTTTTTTTTTTTTTTTTTTTTATAATAGCCTTAGATTACATAAAAATGCTTGAGGTTTATTGTATGGTAAATGTTCATTAAGTATTAAAAAACGTTTTTTTCATGATAAACGTTCTATTCAATGTTATTTCTGTTAAGTTGTTTTTGTCTTTTTGTTGTTGTTTTTTCTTTAGAATTATTAGAATATGTAAATAATGTAATATAAATATTGTTTATAAATTCTTTTATATTTACTTTATTATTTTATTTAAATTACTACATTATAAGCCGACAGGTTTGATTGGCAATATAAATAATGTTGTTCATTGTTTATATCGTTTATAACATCGTCAGTTTTTATATGCATTTAATATTTTTTTAAATAGTTTAAAAGCTGTCAAAATAAAATGGTGAATTGAGTTTAAATTAACCAGAAAAGATATAAACGTAATCTTTGGGATTCAACTTGTAAGGATGTTCCAAGAACCACTTAGTTGGAGAAGGAAAACTGTGGTAATGTTTTAAAAATATCAGAAAGGGCAGTTAATTAATGCACAAGATTTTACTTCATAGTTAAATATAAGCATTTAAAAGCAATGTTTATAAATAATACACTATTGTTTATTATAATACAATTATTTTTATTTGTTTATATTTAACTAATGTAAAGTGCTCGTCTTTAGTTAAAATAAATTAATTTATGCACACACTTTGATATTTATTATGCTTTCACATTACTATACTTTATAAATTACATATTTATTATATTTGTTATGTTTTAAATAGTAAAGTAAAAATATAATAAATTTTTGAATTTAATTGTGTGTGCATAAGTAACTTTATTTTAACTTTATCATTTTATTTAAATTAATGCATTATAACCAGGTAAGTTTTACTGACAATATAAATAATGTTGTACATCATGCAGACAGCTCAGACAAAGAAGTAAGTTTTTACTTAAAATTACAATTTATAAGTTATGCTTTATTTGTTGCTACCTAGTTCTAAAATTTATATATGTGTATAAATCTTTTCATTTTAACCTTATCATTTCATTTAAATTACTATATTATTAGCAGGCCGGTTTGACTGGCAATATAAATTTCTAATTTATTTATTTAGCCGTTCATTAACAAGTTCCGTGCTTTATAATATATATAAAGTTGGTAAGGACGTGAAGAAAACAGGTTTGTAAATGATGTTGTACATCATGCAGATAGCTCAGAAGAAGAAGTAAGTTTTTTTTTTAATAACAAAAATAAATAAGTAATATAATATTTGTTGCTGCCTTGTTCTATATAAATGTTTCTAACATGCAGGTAACATTTATATATGTATTAGTTTGAATAAATCATTTTAATTAAGTTGCATTATAGGCAGAAATGTTTGACTGGAAATATAAACGATGTTGTACATAATGCAGAAAGCTTAGGCAAAAAAGAGGTTATAATCTAATAATTGTTATCTCTAAATAATGATATATTCATTGCTACTTTTTTCTATATAAATGTTACCTAACATTTGGCAACATTAATAATTGTGTATAATGCCTAATTATAAAGTTATAATAGATAATAATTAAAGGTAAAATGAATTAATAAATAAAGAAAACTAGTTAGAATGTATATAATAGTTTTATGATGTATTATCTAGATTGGTGAAATGGAGAATGAGACTACGGTGAAAAAAATAATTAATATCAAAAAGTAAATGGTACTTTGTTTGACATCTACCTGTTTCTACAGATACAGTGCAGTCGCACTTATAAATAGGCTTGATGTTTTTTTGGATTGAATATGTTGTATTGATGGTTCTTTTTAACTTGTTAAAACTTGAAGTTATTATCAAATTTATATATACTATTTTTATCAAATAGTTAATATAAAATAAGCATGTAAATTGTTTTATTTTCTGTAAAAATTGTTTTTTTGATATATTTCAATTGTTTATCACTATGCATATCACTTATAGTATTATATTACTTGTAATTTTTTGTTTTATTTATTTTCACTATGTTATACATATGCATACATTAAATATTGTGGGGAAGTCAAGTTTTGATGTTTTAGGTGCATTATATCCATTATTTTTCAAAGATTTGTAGAATTTAACAAGATTTAAATTTTATTTTGTTTTATGATTTTATTTGGAGAAAGCGATCCTATAGATTAAGAGAACTCAATAATATTAGTGTGATAAAATTTGCTTTTATGATTTAATATGACAAATAACATTAGATCAATAAAACTTGAAAACAAATCATGCTTTTTTACCATGAAAAGTCCATGAGTTTTCCTTGGAAAGGTGTTCCTAATACCTATGGAAATTCCTTGGTTTTTTCCATGGATGGAAAATCATTGAATATCCATGGTATTTGGAACAATTTTCCATAAAAAACTCATGGATTTCCCATGAAAAACTCATGGGTTTCCCATAGGAAACTCATGGGTTTCCCATAGGAAACTCATGGGTGTCCCACAGGAAACTCATGGGTTTCCCATAGGAAACTCATGGTTTTTTTTATAGGAAACTCATGGGTTTCCCATAGGAAACTCATGGGTTTCCCATAGGAAACTCATGGGTTTCCCATAGGAAACTCATGGGTGTCCCACAGGAAACTCATGGGTTTCCCATAGGAAACTCATGGGTGTCCCACAGGAAACTCATGGGTTTCCCATAGGAAACTCATGGTTTTTTTATAGGAAACTCATGGGTTTCCCATAGGAAACTCATGGGTTTCCCATAGGAAACTCATGGGTTTCCCATAGGAAACTCATGGGTTTCCCATAGGAAACTTATGGGTTTCCAATAGGAAACTCATGGGTTTCCCGTGAAAACGTGTTCCAAATAGCCATGGTTTTTTTTCATGGGTTTTTTCATGGAAATTTTCCGTAAGGGAATGGCCCATCTAAGTACAACTATAACTCATTTTTAAGTTTCAGCGATTTTAAGGCTACATGTTTTTTGAATTTCTCCTTTTTGAATATAAAAAAGAACGAGAAGAAGTAGAATGATTTAAAATACTTTCCTTTAGCACTGGATAGTTTACCGTGTTGAAGTATTTAGGAGTGTACTTATTATACAACTTTTTTAATACTTTCTAACTTCTGTTTACTTACGGCACCATAAATTTTCCTGAAGTAGTGCTCAACCCTGATCATTTTATATCGCGGGTCCATCATACATGTAACGGGTATATATCGGAATTAATTTTCCAATATTTTGAGAACTTTGCTGTCATTCTCCCTATTTTCCAGAGGTCCTGAATATGATTGCTGCACATATCTGTTATTTGTAAATAAGTTTCACAAAAATGAATAAAATAGTAATTTGCTGTTGGATTTAATGTTGTAGAGAAACGGTTTGTTAGTTTGTAAAAAAATTTAAATAATCAAAACAACCTTTAACATTTGTCAACTTAAATAAATTTCTTTTAGGCAAATAAAGACATCTTTGAGTTCCAATGCAGTATCCAAGATTTTATAAGTAGAGTTCTTTCTCACTTTTACATCTAAAACAACATTATTACTTGGAGCTTGTACTTAGGATGCAACTTTTTTAAACTGTTACTATTTCAAAGTTGACGATTTGACGTATTTCAAAGTTGACGATTTGACATATTTTACGCTTTTTCTAACTTTTACTATTATATGTTTAATATTTTCAATTGCTTTTTAAACAACCAAATTTACAATATGCGCAGAACATCTGATATGAAAAAAATTCAACTTCTCTTTGAAAATTCTAATCACTGCACCATTTGTTGAACAGTTATCCAGAACAGCACACATGATTTTTTTTTATCAACGTTCCATTTGTATAACTTCTAAGTAAAGTCTATTATAGTGCTATTGCATAATATAATATCAATAAAATTAAGTATATGCTTTTTTAGTCTCCGATTATTTTCAATAGAGTAGCAAGTAAGGGAAATGTAGGATTTACTTTGAATAGACGTCAACAACAACAATAGCAACAACAACAATAACAACAACAACAAGATATTTATTTTTTTCAAAAAATACAATATAATTACAATGTATTGTAATTATATTGTATATTTATTATTATTATTATTATTATTATTATTATTATTATTATTATTATTATTATTATTAATCAATTATTATTATTATTATTATTATTATTAATCAATTATTATTATTATTATTATTATTATTATTATTATTATTATTATTATTATTATTATTATTAATATATTATTGTAATTATATGATTTGTAATTACATTACATTGTAATTATATTATACAATATAATTACAATGTAATGTAATTACAAATCATATAATTACAATAATGTATTATTAATAATAATAATAATAACAATGATTTTATCTATTCTAAATTTTTCAGTTCTCTAGTTTTCTTCTGTTGAGCTTGATTATTTCTTTTCTTAGCCAGTTTTTTGGTGAGATGAGCTAGTTTTGTCTTTTTCTATTTCAAATCAAATCACTTTCAGTAATAAATTAATTTCTTTTTTTAGTCGTAAATCTAGCTACTTTACAACTTTAAGCTGCAATATTAAAATTGTTGTCAAACTTGAGCCACTGTTTTCAATTTGATTTTTGATAGGGAAACTATTTGGAAGTTGATGGACTTAGTTAACCATCAATGACAGATAGCACACTGGTGGGCTCTATAAGCCGTGAGACATTCTTGTCAAATTAAATTGAAATAGATGATGAAATTGATTAATTTAGAGTATTTGACCAAAATGACATTTTTTACATGATCACTTGCTCTTAAACTTTATTTTTTTTTTAATTAAATGAAAGACAAAAACAGTAATCTAGATTAAAGTTCCTCAAGTTTGAGCTTTTCTTTTAATAAAATTTGGCTTTTTTTTTAAGTAAAAATATCGATTTTAAATAATTAATTTACTCTTTATTAGTAATACACTTTAATAATTGACTTCTGTTGCAAAAAAGATATATGGGTAAAATAAAGTTCACAGGTAAATAGCTTTTTTGGCTTCATTTTAGATTTAAAAACTATATGATGCAAAAGACCATTTTTACGGTTAAAAGTACGATTAAGTCAGGCAAAAAAGTTAGACTGCGTCATATCAACAAGGGCAATATTAATCAGTTTAAAGAGTAACTATCATTGGAAACATATAAACTTTAACGATGACACAAACTCTATACATGAAAACTTTTTTAACACATTAAATTCTATCTACAATGCAAATTTTCCATTCTTGGAAAAGACAATTAGTCCAAAAAAAAAATTTAATCCCTGGATTACCAAAGGTTTAAAAAAATCGTCAAAGATCATGCATAAACTGCATGTAAAGTATTTAAAAGCAAAATCCCTTGAAAATGAAAAAAATATAAAAAGATTTTAAAGATTAGTTTGAAAAAACTCGAAAAAATTTGAAAAAAATTATTACTTTAGCTTAATTGATTAGTATAAAAATAATTTTAAACACACATGGGAAATAATAAAAGAAATAAACTGAAAATAAAAAGACTGCTCAGGTGCCCTTTCCCAGGTTATCAAAGTTGATAACAAAATCATCTATAAACAAAAAGAAATGGCTTGCAAATTTAATAATTTTTGTTAAAATTGGTCCCGAACTAGCCTATAAGATTCCAATGACGTAAGCTATATTTACTGATTTTCTAGTACCCATGAATTACATAATAAAAGTTGTCTTCTAAATTATCATTTTGAAGAGTAGGGCTGTACCAGAATGTTTTTTTTTCAATTCCGGCCGGAACCATATTTGTCGGAACTAAAAATAAAATTCCGGAACGAGAATTATATTTATATTATTTTTTACTTTCTATATTTAATTGGATTGCACCACATCATTTTAGCAATATAATATATATTTAACCTATTTCATTTATTTTTTTCTTGTTTAAATAATTTCATTTGTATTAGTTTTCATTTATTGTAAATTTTAACTGTATAATTTTTTTTTAACTGCATTTTTATTTATATATAAAATTAATTATTTATTTTTTATTTTTCCATTTAGATTAAAATATAAACTTCTACTGTATTTGTACTGCATCTTATAGTTTTTAATTATTTAAACTTACATTTGAACATCTAAAAATGTTTTTTCCTTCGTTTGCTTGGAGATATTTTAAAACAAATGATGCCACAGATGATACATCAGCAGAATGTAAATTATGCCACAAAAATCTTAAACGTGGTAGTGCCCCAAAAACATTTAGCACAACACCACTTCATATGCATTTAAAAATATATTATATAGATATATATGATGAGGCTAAACAAGAAGAACAGAAAAAGGAAAAAAAAACAAAAGCTAAGACACAACGAGAGAGAAAATTCGAAGCAATTAAGTCACAGACACAAACTACATAGATGATTTTGTTCTTAAAAAAGTTTGGAATATAACGGACTCTTGCTCCTCCAAAGTTAATCAAAGAATAATAAATTTTATTGCGATGGACAATCAACCTTTTTATGTAGTTGAAGATCAGGGTTTTATTGAATTGATTGCTCACTTGCAACCACAATACCTAATTCCAAGTAGAAAGTTTTTTATCGAAATAATGCTACCAGCATCATATGAAAAATTAAAAACCATAGTATTTAATGACATTTCTGCAGCTGATCATATTTCGTTTACAACAGATATTTGGACAAATACCCATAGCAGGTATGCATTTATATCATTGACTGCGCATTGGATCACAGATAATTTTATTAGAAAAGATTGTGTTTTACACTGTAAGCATTTTCCAGGGTCCCACACTGGAATAAATATTGCTAATTTATTTGATCCGATGCTAGTTGATTGGAATATTTCCAAAAAGAAAATACTTATTGTCCTTCGAGACAGTGCTTATGACATGCAACTTGGAATTGACTTGACGGAGTCTTCAGG